GTTGCTCCCTGTCTTCCTCCTGTTCCTCCTTCCCGCGGAGCCTAGAGAGCTTTAATGCATGACAGAAACAGCTCTAAAAGTCACCTTGCCGCCCCATCTGCAAAAGGGATGCTGCAGCCCCGGGACGCGGGCAGGGAGAGAGAGATCAAGGACTTAGCCACACCAGCAGCGTGTAAGGAGAGGAAAAAAAAAACCCAGCGGAGATCAGGAAGCCGCCGGCACGCTCAGATCCTGCCCCAAAGAGGGAAGTGGCTGCACTAGACTGTAGCGGCTGGTTTTCCAGGTACCAGGGTTGCTCCAGGCAAAGCGTCTTTCTCTCTCTCTGTATTCCTTCTTCCCCTCCGTCTCTTCCGCAGCACCTTAGATCCCGTGGCGGGGCGCTCCGGGCCGGCGCCGGGGCGGGGGCGGGAGGCAGCCACGTCACCCCAGCGCCCTCCGCATTTCACTCCCGCTCTCTGGTACCTGGAAGCGCTAAGGCCTTAGAAAAACAGAATCCACGGAGCCCGCGGGCACTGCCGGGCGCCGGGGTGCGTGGGGCCGAGGATGGGGTGGGTTGAGGGCCTGCAGGAGCCCGAAACGAGTTTGTGCGGCCTTTGACAGCACAGACACCCCTCTCTGGACGTGCACATGGATGTGATTGAGGTCTGCAGCCGGGCTCCGAGCCAGGTCCCTACGAGTCGCAGGTGCAGGACAGCCCCAGGACCAGTCTGTGTTAGAGCACTGTTGTCCGTGCTTTTATGCAGTGTATCCATTCGCTTTGTTGATTACTCTGATTTCTTTTCCTTTCTTTTCTGTTTCTTTCCCCCCTTTCTTCTCCAGACTTGTTTCGTTTGTGTTTTGGTTTCTTTCCCTCCTTTTCCTTTGGAGTTTTTGACGTGCTGATGTGTTGCGGAGCTCGGCTCCTTGCGGGTGTTGATAACTGCTTTGTTTTTGATTAATCTCAGCTATCTGGGCAGTGTTGTCGAGACAAGCTTCTCCTCAGCTCAATAGGTAAGGGTGATCCATGTCCGAAAGGATGGTGTGGGCGCTGCGGAGGGTGGCCGGGAGTGGGGCATGACAGGGGACATGGAAGGGGCTTTTCCAATACCATCTCTTCCTTTAAAGGGGAATAAGGAATTGCAAAACACTAGGGTACACCTTTGTACACAGAGTCTCTGTGGCTTTTGGGTTTCCCCTCTCTCCGTGTGCCTTCGGGAAGCAGCAGGTCTTTAGGGATGCGGTGGGCACGGAGCTCGGGCCGGCAGCTCTTGTCTCGCTGGGGCTGCGAAGCTCCAGGGCGATGCCGTAGGGAAGGGGCTTTGTTGGGAGAAATAGCTTGGGGTCTCCCGGCTGATCCCAACAAGCAAGAGTTCACACCGTGCACTTCGAGCAAGGGAAGGGTCATCCTGTGGTTCAAGTCAGCTGCAAGTGGTGCTTTAGGACTAGGGCTCCAAAATGAGTCTCCAACTCTATTCCAGGAAGCAGATTATTCCCATCAGTAGTTGGGTCTGTTTTCTTCTTCTTCCATTTTTTAGAATGTAAAAGTATTGGGAAGTTGTCTTTTCAAGATGGATTTTTATAGCTCGCAGTAGTGCAGCCACAGTTTGAGATTGCTGGGCAGATGTTTCCCCTTTGCTGTAAGCTGTGCCGAGCGTAGTCACAAGAAAAACCCTCCCTGTGTGAGATACTCCTCAGAGGAATGCTGCAAGGCCTCTTCTGACCCAGCTGGAATGGAACAGCTCTCTCAGATAAGCTCTCCCAAGGGAACATCCCTCAGGTTTCCTCTGTTTGCTAAAGCCAGGCCAGATCGTAGTCGTTCCCACCGCCAGGACGCAGGAACTCAGACCCATGCAGCTGTCGGGAGGACTCCTTGTGACAGGGATGTGCTGTGGTACGTGGGACTGTGTCTGGGGCCTGCTGGTGCCCTGGCCTCGCTGGGACGGGTCTTGTAAGAACTTGCACTTGCTGCTGAGGATGGTGAGGGAGGAAGGCAGCAGGTCAGCGTCAGGTTGTGGGTTGGGCCAGGTTAGAAGGATGGGGACACGGCAAAGGGAGCAGGTTTGGGACACAGGCTCCGTGGGGCGGACCACGTCCTGGAGCGCTGTCCTTGCTGCTGAAGAACGTGCTGACAAAACGTGGCCACCTTGACCTCTTGAGCACTTGGCCACCTTCTTCCTGTGTTTGCCTGTGCCAGCTCCAGGGCAGGAGATCCTGCAAGGAGCCAAGTTAGCACCAAGCCTTGTAGAAACCAGCTGGGCTGCATCAGCGAAGTGGGAAACCTTCGGCAAGACCTTGGTTGTCTTCTCTCCCCTTTTCCCACCACGCTTCCCGGCTTCAGAAGGGCTCCCACGTTGAGGAAGCACCAGCAGGAGCTCGCACCCGAGTTGGGCATCCCCTTTGAGCAGGCTGGGGTTCGTTCTTGCACGGATACTCGCTCCGGTGTCTGGTGGTGGGAGCCGTGGGCTGGCGGAATAGGAGCAGGAGAGGAAGGGGCAGGATGCTCCTGCCCTGCGGGATGTTTGCTGGGGAGCGACGGCGCGTCCCGCTCCGAGACGCTGCCGGGGAATCCTGGTGCTGCAGGGGCCGGAGCGGCAGCAGCGTCTCCAGAGCCGTTATCCCGAAAAGGGAAGCCAGGAGGAGAATAAATCTCGCTCTAATAAGCGAGGCATCCCGTAAAGAGCCCAGCCTAGTAATTTCTTGATGATTTGGGGGTCATAAAATTGTCAGTGGATGCAGAGCACGGGGATTTTATAGCAGCCCAGCCAGATTTCTGCACTGCAGTAATAAAAGGGGAGAGCAGGAGAGAGAAAGGCACTTTCTGAGCTCGGTGGCAGCTGCAGCAGAGCCCGCGGGAGGGAGCGCAGAGCTGTAACCCACTGCCACCATCGGCAGCGTGTCCTTGTGCGCGGCGGGTAGCTTTTTTATTCTTAAAAGCAGGGCTAAATTATGCAATCCCTGGCTCGGTCCTAGCAGTTTTCCCTTGCTTTCCAAGGGGCTGCAGCGAGGGAAGAGGACGTTGTCGTCTCCCTGCGAGGGGGAAACCCAAAATCCACAGACCAGGCGCCGAGGGCCGGGGCCGCGGGCTCCGCGGGCCGAGGAGCAGCCCTCGCTCCCGCTTTCCAAGCACACACGTTCCCCTTTAAAGACTGTCCATGTGCTGCTCCCTCTGCATGTGTTTCACGCCGCCTCCCGCTTGGAGAAGTTGTGAGTCCTCTTGTCCGAGTGCGTTTTTCTCTCTGTTTCGTTTTTTTTTTTTTTTGGTTGTTTTGTTTTTTCTTATTATTTCTTTCTTTTTTTTCAGTCTCTTTGGTTTCCTTATATCCTTTCTCGCTCCCGTTTCTCATTTATCTTCCTCTCTTCTCTCCCCTGTGACTGGACCCCCCTCTCTCCTGTCCTGCCCTCCTTCCCTCGCCCCGGTGCCCCCGTCCCTCTCCTCTCCGCATGGTGCAGTCCGTGGTGCCCATGGGTTGTGTTGTCCCATGGAAGGGTTGTGCCCCGCTGCATCGTGTCCTGGCAGCGCTGGACAAGGGGCCGTGGGTTTCCCTGGCACCGAGGGGCAATTCCTGCTCTCGGGAAGCGCCTCGTGGCACCGGCGGCGTCTCTGCGGCGGGCGCAGGATTTGGGATGGACAAGGAGCCTCCTGTGGGCGAACTGCCCTGTTCATCTGAGGGGGATGAAGGGCCGAAGGAGCCTGGCTGGGACTCTGGGGGCTCTGGAGTTGTCCAAGCAGATGTTTAGATCCATAAGCAATTCCCGGATTTTGCTGCCTCGGTTCGAGGAGAGAAGGAAACAGGGAGCATGGTGGCAAGGAGAGCTCCCTCCGCGAGGCCCGGGGTCTGTCTTGTGGCCCCTTCTGTCAGTGGGTTCCCCTTCTGCGGGCAAGAGGGCTGGCGAGCTGCTTCCATGGGCCTTCTCCCTTCCTGGGCCTCCCGCCTGGAAAAAGAGGAGCGAAGAGGAGCCACGGAGATGAATCCGTTGGGCTGGGCTGGCGGAGCGGCCCCTTTCGCCCTTGCCCATCGCGAATGCGGGAGCTCCTCGCGACTCAGCGACGAGAGGACCCACAAGGCACCAGCCTGGAGAAGATCCCGCTTCAACCCTAGGCCCTTCCCGCTCCGAAGAGCCCCGGGGCCGTTGCGCTCCCTGCAGTGACCTCCTGCCCGTTCCTTGCTCCGTGGGAAGGGTTGTGCTCCGGAGACTCAAGGGGAACTCGATTTCTGCGCGTTCCGTGGAGGCCAAGGGCTCACGTCAGGAAGTTACCTGCTCCTCCGTGCTGGAGGCCACGTTCACCCGCGTCCCTGAACGTCCCGTCTGTTGGTGCCGAAGAGATTTCTCAAGCACGGGCAGCTGCCCAAAATGCTAAATCTGGGGGCTGGAAGAGGCTCTTGGCTGGGCTTAAAATGAAAATTAATTTGAAAGAACTGGAGCCCTTTAAAGAAAGAAAGGGTGGGTAGAGCAGATAAAACTTGGCTGGTGAGTAGCATCATTTCGTCCTCCGCTGTATCTCTTCCTTGCCAGAGGTCAGACAGTATTTATAGTGACACATGGGTTCAGTGCGCTCAGTGTTTATATTTGTGTGCATAAATACAAGCCCAATTACAGAGGACTAGTAGAAATGAGCTCCAGGCAATTTCCTCATAATCCCTCGTGTAAATCTGTCTAATTTTGTCAACATGCCAAAGTTAGCAGCAGCGTCTTAGGAGGAAGAAAAATAGGAAGGGAAATAGCGAAAGGTTTTTGCGAGTCAGGACTTAATGGTGCCTGGGGCCGTGGGGCACGGGTGGTGGCACAGGGATGCTCATGGGCCAGGCCTGGACTTTCCTGCAAGGAAAAACCCTCCGTAGGATGTGTATATTCAGCGGTGCATGAAGCTCTCCCTCCTGGGAGAGCAGTGGAATGGCTGGTGTCCTTGGCACGGTCCTCTTTCCATTTGCTGTTTCCTTTCTTGTCTGCAGCGGTTTTGAAGCGAGGGAGGTGAATGTGCCTCACTCCTGCACTCGCAGACTTTAAGGGGGATTTCTCACCGTTTCGTTCCTTTCATCACGCCCCTCTTTTTCCTTCGAGCCAGTCTTGGCTATTTGCTGTTCAACAGCTCTTGGGCTGCAACTGAATACCCTGAAGTGCAGTGAAATGTGAACGGAAGAAAAACGCCCTGTGTTCGGGTAGAAATGAGCCTGTCGTGAGGACCGTTTCTGATTAATGCTCGGTCCAGATATACGGCCTCAAGTCCTGTCCCTGCTCAGTCCGCCTCTACTTCTGTGAGTGTCGGTGCCGAGGAGCAGGACGTGCCCTTTACACTCGCGTTGTTGTAGCTAGCTTGGGAATTGCCACCGGGGAAAGGTGGCAACGGGACGGGATGGGCTGGGGACATGAACCCTACCAGAACCACAAAAACCCAAGGATTCGGGAATCGCTGTTGGTTACACCCATGGCGTGGCTGTTTTCAGAAGGTTTGGTGGTTGTGACATGGGAAGAGTGTCTATTTTTCCAAGAGGTAGGACAGGGCAAGCGCAGATGGAGTTGGAAGCACGCTGGTTTTCCAGGCTTTCCGTGCTGGAGCTGGGCTCGAGCCTTGGCTTTGCTGCAGTGAGAGGTGTTTGGTGGGTGTCCCCCGTGTCGTCTCTGGGCTCCTCGTGTGCTCTGTGAAGGCTAGAACTGCTCGCTGGTGACTACAGGTGGCCCAAGGGGTCTTTGCTCAGACTTGTGTCTCTGCGGGGTTATGTATCCGTGCAGCCTGGAGAGGTGTGGAAGTAAACTGGGAAAAGGGGAAGTGGCAAGAGGGGAGATGATGGGATGGAGGTGGGAGCTGGACCCCCTTCTCTCCCAAGGAAAATGCCTTCCCCTGCTCCCTACGGCAGTCGCAGCTTCCCCATCCCCAGGCGGACAAACGGGACCATGAGGGATAACAGAGTGTAAAACCAACCTCTGCAGAGGGGAAGCCGCTTAACCTTGAGCAGGTTCTTGTAGAAAAGCTACTTGGGGAATAAGCGCGAGAAGCAATTTATAACGGCTGCCTCTTCCGCAGGAAAAATCCCTTTTGCAAATGCCCTCCCTCTCCCCCACAGTGACACCCCATCCCTGTTGTTCCCATTGCAAAGTCACGGGAGGGCAGGAAAACGCGGCGCCCGGCACGGTCTCCGTGCCAAGGATTGGAAGCTCCCGTCGTGCCGCGTCCGTCGCTGCTTGTGGTGGGGACCCGGCCGTCCCCGCCGTGTCCCTCGTGTCCCTATGTGTTGTGTCCCGTCCTCGGGAGCGGGGACAGGCAGTCTCCCAGTCTCCGTGCTGTCTGTCAGGCTGGTGTCGTCGGAACCGCCTGTCTTCTCCATCCATCCCAAGGGGGTTTCCCACGACTTCCCGGAAAAGCCTTATCGGACATAGGATCTGCCCCATCCTTTTTATTTTCCCGGTGCTGGGGCTGCCGCGAGGATGAGCTGGGGTGCCCGTTGCGCTCTCGCATGGCTCTTGCGCCCGCACACGTTGCGTTTCCTCCGCAGGAACAGCCGGATCCGCGCTCATCCCGGCACGCAGGACGGGATGCAGGACGGCACGGGACGGGCGGCCCCCCGTGGCCGCGGGCGCTGCCTCCTCGTGCTCTCTCACCTTTTCCTTTTCCATGGCGCAGCTGGCTGGGGGTGGCCGCCCCGAGGGACGTCGTGGGGCCCAGCGTGGCCGGGAGCCGCTCATGTCGCCTGTCTGCTTTTCCTTTCTAGAAAACGTCCATCTCCGTCCCGGGACGCTGCTGCACCTGAGAGGCTCGAGGCTCTGAAATACCAGCGGATAAAGAAGCCCAAAAAGTCATCCAAGGGCTCCTCGAAATCCAGAAAGCAATCCAGTGAGTCCGAGGACCCTGAGGTCCCCAGCTAGCTCCCCGGCCACGTGGGCATGGACGTTCCCCATTCCCGTCCTGAGGGCTCAAGCAGGTCCCGGCGCAGGGGGCTCCAGCCTCGCAGCCGGCGCCTGGTTTTGTCACCAGGGTCCCCAAGGGCCCGGCCCTCTCTCCCTGCGCCGAGCAGCAAGGGTCGGGACGCTTCCCTTGAGTCCCGCTTCCCGATCCCGCTCCGGGGGCTCACGCGCCTCCCTCCTCTCCTTCCCTTTCTCCCCGCAGATGGTTCTGCCTCCCAGGTGCAGCAGCTGCCCAGCTCTCAGGTACTGTGGCCTGACGAAGCTGTCTGCCTCCGCAAGAAGAAGAGACACCCTCGTCAGGACCCCTTCGCCCGCCTCTCGGCGCTCAAGGACGACCTCTGTCACCGGCAGCTCCCCGAGGACCAGACGGCCATTCTCAACAGCGTGGACCACGACGACGCCGGCGGCCACGCCACCCTGCTCTAGCCTCGCGCCGCCAGGTCCAAAGCGCCGCCACGGGGGTCCCCCCGCGGCGCCGGGGGACACGGGAAGGAGCCGGGGGGCCCTCAGGGAGGGACATCCCGGCCCCTCGGCCGCTGCTCCTCGTGCGTCCGCTCCTGAGCCCCGGGAGGGAGGCGGGATGCGCGAGCTCGGGTTCGGGAAGCATCTCTAGGCTTTAGAGGCACGGATGGAGATTTTGACATGGCTTTCCACAGCGTGCATTCGGATGGGAATTATGGATTCGAACAGCTGGCCCTGAATCGCTGGAATAAATTAGATGGCGCAGGGTGTAATTAATTCACAAGGAGCTAACAAGCCAGACGGGAACTGATAATCCCGTGGATCTGGCTTTGATAAAACATGACCAAATAATCCCGTGAAAGCTGTAATTGTGAAAATCTCCTTGCCTCCCCCTTCCCAGCCTCCTTTTATGCGAAGAGAGCAGCAACAGAATTCTCAGTGACATCTTTGCCTATCTAGCCCTGAAAGGAAAAACGAGAAGCTCCCCAAACCTTGGGATCCATCCGAGATGTGAGAAATCCCAGTTCGCTGGTGCCTGTGCGTTTGAACCTTGCTAGCACACACTGAGCACTTTGCAGATATGCAGGTACGGGTCTGTTTAATCCAAGGGGGCTTTCCCCCGAAGTAGAGGCGGTCACTGCTGGTGGGAATGGGGACGTGGGTAACTCCTGGTGACGCTCCACGTGCTACTAGTGAGCTAAGTGATGCCCTTTCCTCCCGCGGTGGCGCTGGCGATTTTCGCTCCGCAGAACGGGCAGGCACCGTTTTAGGTGTGCGAAGGAGCAGGGTTGGACTGTATGGAAGCCTCCGTTGGCAGCTTGCTGATCCCGAAAAAGAGCAATGGGGAACTTCAACAGCGAGCCCAAGGTCTCGCTTCAAAACGCGGTGCTGCTCGTCCCACCGCATCCCCCTTCCTTCTCCTGCTCCCGCCCAGAGTAGAGGCTGGATCCCACACGGGATTTTATACCTCCCTTGGCTCCTCCTGAGGAGATCTGTTGTTCCCCTCTTGGCAACGCTGTTCTAACTCTTCACCAGAATGTATTTCCTCCTCAATTCCCGTTGCAGTCGGTCTTTTTTTCCGGATTATGTCGGCCTTTTCCGGCAGGGAAGCCATAGCCTGCGGGAGCAGCAACCATCAGGACACGTGGGCTCGTTTTCCTGCTCTGCCTCCACTACCAACTGCGTGGCCTTGGGCAAGTCACTTGACCTCTCTGTGCCTCAGTTCTCCCATCTGTAAAATGGGGTTAAGTCATAGACAGGCACTTCTGTAAAGCACCTGAATGTCTCCCGACGGGAAGTGCTGGGTGAATCCTGAGTGCAAAGGGATCCCTGCCTTTAAGCTATTTAGAGGTTTCTTGGGGCTTTTTGGTTTTAACGAGGTGAAATCAAAAACTGCATCCAGGTTTGCCCGGTTCTTCCTTCGTGGTAAAGTGCTAAACCCTCCAGCCTGCCTGGGAGGAAAATCTCAAGTACTTCATGTGGCTCTTCCCGCTTTGGGGGGATTCAGGCTGTAGAAGAAGTGTCAGGACCACCGAAGAGCCCGTCGGCATTTTCTTTGCCGTAGGCTCTCCGTTTGCATACAAAACCTTGTTTATTCCCAGCTGGAATCGCCAGGAGATTCCTTGCAGTCTCGCCTTTATTTTGTGCTTTGCCTTGGTCATTTCTCCTGCTGCTGGTTGGACCTCGAAGGGCTTAGATGTTTGGAGGAACGTGCAGCATCTCAGATGCTTGGCCAGAACGGATGGTGGGGAGCTGGCAGGACAAACAAGCCAAGCTCCCAGAGAGATTTGGGGTAGGAGTTTGTTCTTTTATCCCTCTGGCAAGAAACTTCTGCTTCTGAAGGAGGTTCCGCTCCCTCTTCCATGAGGGAGCAAGGTTAAAAGGAGAACACAGCTGCATCCTTCCGAATCTCAAAGCCCTGACTTAGGTTCGAGCCGCTTGACAGAGAATCCTCCAATTCAACAAGGAGATATTTTTCAAGCTTTAACAACTTCATTTAGGTGATCTTCAAAACATGAGCAAGTTTGTTTCCAGAAGGAGGGAGGCTCTCTTAGAAATACCTCTCTTTCCAGCCTGGATCAGGGCATTTCTTTAAGTCTATGATGAGTGACCTGCTGTAACGCCATCGGCAAACGGAGTGAGAATTCACCTTTGCTAATGGTAGGACTGTTCCTTTTATTTGAGTGCGTTTTAGGGATTTTTTGCCCTAGAATCCGCTCGGGTCCGAACTGATTCGATATCATTTGCACATCGGGCAAGCTCTGCCCGCGTAACCTCAGCCGGCTGCTGTAGGCGTAAGAGAAGCCGGCTCGCGCCCCGGGAGCAGGAGCGGGAGATGGACCGGCTCCGGCACCGTCTCCAGGCGCTCCCGGGAGCCTCGTGCTGCCCGCTGCTCCGGAAGGATTCCCGTTGGGCCAGGGTGCTCTCCAGGTGGCATCCGGGCACCGCATCCCGCCGGGAGCGGCTGCGGACCTCCCTCTTCCGCCGCGCTTTCCGCGAGGGCCTCGGCGAGAGTCTCTTTTCCTTTTGCAGGTGTGTTGAGCAGCTGGGCCCCTGCTTTTCTTTGCCCTCGAGAGGCTGGAGCCGCAGCCCTCTCAGCCGCGTGCCCGCCACGATGCTGCATCGGGGACAACAGGGCACGTCGTGGAGGAACCTCTTTCCTCAACCACCCCTAACTCCTTCCAGCCGCCTCTCCGCCGCCTTCCCGGCCGTGGATGGAGCCGAGCTTGTCCCCGTAGAGCACTCACCTCCCGATAGTCTCCTGGCCCCGCTTCGGCAGCCGGGCGGTCTCTCCTTTTGCTTTGGCAGCTTCCTCGCTCCTCCTCTGCTTTCCCTGCCTTGCAGGGGGCTCTTCTCCCGCCGACCTGGGACGCTGGAGCCGCGTCAGAGCCGGTTCATCCCCGTCCAAGCTCCGTTTCGTTTCACTGGTTTGCAAACACGGCTGCTGCTTCCTTTTTTTATTTTTATTTTTTTTCTTTTATGCTGCAAAAATATATCTTTACCTTCACGTCCTTGGACCCACCTCTCTTCTTTTATGAGCTTGTCCAAGGTAGGCGGCTCTGGCTCTGCTGGTGACTGCACGATTCCTCCTCGCATAGTGCAAATGTGGCAAAAATTTAGGAGGACCCCCAAAAAGTCCCAGGTAAAGAGAAATAAGTTGCTAACGCTCCCTGCCTCAGTTTCCCCATCTGCAAAATGGGAATAACAGCTTTGCTCTACCTACCTCCAAGGATGCTGGGGGACCTGGGGTGACCAGAGCAGGGAGGATGCTTTGGAGGTGCCCTTGAAGGCCCTTGGAGATGGTACCCGCTGGTGTTAAGTGTCTGGGAATGGTGCTTCGTGGAGGAAGAAGGGGATTTGCACTCGTTGAGTAAGCCAGGAGCAAGCAGAGAGCCCTATGCAAGTCTTGGGGTTGGAGAAGTGAAGGAGGAGAAGGGATCGGAGACCCAAGTGGGATGTGGCACAGTCTTGTGTGCCGGTTTCTCCTCTCCCTTAAGGCTGTGATGCCCAGTTTGGGTTTCTGAGTTCTGGGTTGGTTTCTGCACGTGTTTTCAGCTGCAGTTCTTGGCTTGGGGGATTTTGCGGAGGCTACGGAGCGGTTTTCCTGTGAGAGTTGCAGTCTGACTTCACTTCTGTGTGGCCTCGGGCTGGCGGAGTTGGGGCTTTTTACGGGAAGAAATCTCCTCAAGGAACCAGAGGAAAAAGCAATGTATATATGAGATGTATAAATACATAGAGAAGCATAGGACAAAGATAGGCACGTATGCAGAAGTCCGATATATTTGCATGTAAAGGGGGATGTTTGTCGCAAGGGGAGAGTGTTTAGAGCCTTAGTGGAGGGCGGGAGATTGGGAAGGGCAAAGCCAGGAGGGTTGGGAGCAGCCGGAGCCCAGGGAGCCTTTGGAGATGGAGAGACACAGGCCTTCATTGCGTCCCCACTCCTGCTATGCAGGATTTCGTTTTTCCCCCTTTTTTTCCCCCTCTATTCATGGTGTGTAACTCTTTGCTGGTCCGTACAGTCTCGTGGCTTTGTTTTTCTCCCCGTTTAGATGTGTTTCGGCCTGGCGGGTTTGTGCCCTTTCAGCTCCGCCGCTTGTCCCGCGGGGTGGAAGCGGCTGTCCCCATCCCACATCCCAAGGCAGGCCGTCCCCATCCCGAATCCCGAGGGCTCCGTGTGTGCTTTTTATATGTGCATGGATGGACGAGACCCATAAAAATCCCGGGGGGTGGGAGGGTAAGAGACAGGGATAGACGGGGTGGTCGAACGCATGCGATGTAGTGGTACATAAGGGTTTTCCTAGGACTTGCAGTGGGCCTCGAGGGAGGAGCGAGCAGATTCATTGCTTTTCCATCAAAATCCCTCTTTTTCCCACAAGGGGATTTGTGGTCCTAAAGCCCCTCTGATTTCACGTCCCCCCTCCTCAACCCCTAACTGAAAAACCCCGGCCTGAGGAGCGAGCCCTAGTGTCTCTAGGAACCCCGAGAGAAATATTGGTGGATCGAACCTGCATTGTATATAAAATTATACAAATATATATTTACTTTCTATTTTAGAGGTGGGGGGGGAGGGAATAAGTATTTAAAATAATTCCTTAGGTAATAGGCATCGGAGACTCCCGTGCAGCGCAGGAGAGGCTGTCGGAGGTAGAGAGTCCAAGTAGCCGGAGCAGAGCGAGTATTTTTACATTATATTGTGTTTCTGCTTCTCTGCTTCTCCATCCACCTATAAATAGGCAAAAATATATATACAAAAAAACCTATATATATATAAAAAATATATATCTAAGTCACATAGCTGTTTTATTTTTGTATCCATGCCTGGCGCTGTTTGAGCAATACAGTAGCGAGGGAGAGAGCGGTGTTTTGCATGTGCTTTTCTTTCTTGTCCCCGCTTTTCTCTTCTTTTTCCTCAGTGCAGCAAGTGGAAATTCAGCTGACAACGGTGCTACTTTTCCCGGGGAAAGAGGAGG